ATACCTTCTGGGCAGTTCCATTAATTTCTGAACAATTCCTGTAACATCATTAGGAAAATATAAGAGAAGTTCCGTAAACTTCAGGAAACAATAGAGATCTTCAGGAGAGTCTGAGGAATGAAAAGAAGTACTGAACATTTTTGTGAACTTCAGGCAAACTTCAGTATTTATAAAGTTGTTCCAAAAGCTTCAGCAAACTGCAGGACCTTTTAAGAAAATTTAAGAAATTCAGGGGTATCCAGAGAACTTTAGAGAAGTCATAATTATTTCAGTTTTTTGGAGTAAACATTTTAAAGAACTTCCAAGGACCTCAAAGAAGTTAAACTGGAGAGCTTTAGGAAATTGCAGAATTATTAACGCTTTATAACTTCGAAAAATTCAAGAAATTCCAGACTTTCAGGGAAGTTCGAAGATTTGTATGCGTAAGCTCCGATAAATTTCGGTCAATTCAATTCAACTCAGAAAAACTTTGAAATTTTTTGACAGATCTTTTTAGTTCAGGGTAGTACCAAGAACTTCAATAGAATTGAGAGTACTTCAGGAATGAAAAAAAAAAACAAATGAATAAATAAACTATTTTCATGGAAATTGAAGAATGTTTAAGAAGTTCCAAGAAACTCAGGGAATTTCCGAAACTACATCAAAGTACCAAGACCTTTATTTAAATTTCAGAAACATAAGAGGTCTTACATCAGCGGCAAGAAAATGTGAGATCATTTTAAGGAAGTTCCATGGTATTCAATGCAGCTTAAAGAACTGCAAAAATGCAAGAACCTCAGCGACGATTAAATTATGTTCAAGAAAATCGCGAGATCTTTTAAAATAATCAAGAACTTCAAGAACGTCTAGAGACCTTCAGAGAAGTATATATATTTTTTGTAGTTTCATTATATATTGGGAAGTTCCCGAAACTCCGTTGATGATTAGAGATCTTCATATCAGTTTCATTTATTTAGGGAAAATTGCAGGATATTTCAAGGAATTATGGGATTAAAAAAAACAGGGCTCTAGGATCTTTTCTATGAATTTGCACCCTTTGCGGATGTTCCGGATCTTTCGAAAGACCGTTCCATGGCCACCAGAGTGCACATACTGGTTTAAAATCCAAATTCATTCATGCAACATAACAACAAGTTGATTAAAAAAATCTTGATCCTTTTTTACTAGGTTTCCACATTTATGGATGTTCCATGTCTTCCAAAGTAATGCTTTGCTGTCCCTTGCGTCCACATTTTTGTCCCAAATCCAAATTCATTCATATAGGGTTAACTACCCCATTTCCGGCGTATTAAGCACAACCCTCATTTAGTCTTTCTTAATCTAGCGCAGTTTAGCACCAAACGGAATGTTACTATTACTGATGGATTCCAAATTTATTTACCTTTCCGTACGTACCGTAAGATTTGATAAAGAGAAACCAATCGTTGAGATATTGTCAAAAGTCTAACACTGCTTCTTGACGCCAAACTCGGCCTACGGATTCTAAACTCGGCCTAATGCATTGAAACGTCAATGAATTCACTTCGGCCTATCGGATGAAGATAAAAATTGATTCGGTCGGAGCGCTACTTTTGTGTTTGGGAATAATGGGTGCAAACCTTCATATTACGCGTTCTCATTGACTTCGTTCCGTAGCTTATTAACTAAAGTATCGTACCAAACGCATAATTGACTTGTTAACTCTGAAATCATGGATTTATTTGAAGTTTTCTGCTAGATAGGCCCAAAATGGGCATTAGGCCGAAGTAGTTCTCTACCCTATCACAATGTTCAAATGAAAAACAAAACAAACATTTCAGAGATAGCAACGCTTGGACCGGTTGCTATCGCGCTGCTACCCGAGTAGCACACTTTCATCAAAATTAGTTACAGCAACTTGTTTATGACTGAAATAAGTCGTAAATAAGTTTCTACAATTGATTTGTGACAAGCGTGCTACTAGGGTATATTTGTCAACCCGCTGTTCACCGAGAGGCAGATTGTTATTTCCCGCACTGAAATAGCAACCTCCAGTGCGGCTACTGCGTTATGGTGGAGGTTGCTAAAATAGCTTTAGCAACGCATTGGTGCGGGTGTTCTTAGCTTAAATGAGTGACCAACGCATAATTTTGAGTATCGCCGTGCATTATCAAGATTTTGCAGTACTGGGTATGGGTTGATTATAACTGCAATAGTTCGCTTGACAGTGCTGTTTTCAGATATTGTGGAATTGTGGAAGAAATGCAACGGAGCCCACTGCCATATACTACCATATCCTAAACAGCTCCCGCTGCTCGTCCGAGATCGCTTATTCAAGTGTTCGCAACTAGGCCTACTAAAGGGCGTCCACGATGAAATTGCCACACTATGAAATTGCTCTAACTTTTTAACCGTTGGATAGAATTTAATGAAAATTTGGGTGGATTTAGTTCATAGTGCATTATTTACATCCTGCAAGTTTTAAAGTCCTGTGATCAAAACTCGCGGAAATGGAGTCGAAAGAACAGCTCGTGCGTGATAAAATCTTGCGCATTCATCACGAGAACAAGGATCTCTCGCATCGTTCCATCGCTAAAACGTTGGGAATCGCGAATTCCACGGTGTCGCGAGTGATTAAGCGGTTTGAGGAACGGTTGACCACCGATCGGAAGCCCAGAAGTGAAGGAAAAAGTATTCCGTACAACACCAAAAATCACAACCGCGTAGTTGGGGCCTTCAACCGAAATCCGAATGCCTCCGTTAGGGATGTGGCTAAGAAGCTGCACCTAAGCCGAAGTTTTGTCCAGAAGGCCAAAACTAAGGCTGGGCTTCGAACGTTCAAGGTACAAAAGGCCCCTAATCGCGACGAGAAGCAGAACAAGTCCGCCAAAACCCGTGCCAGGAAGTTGTACCTCAACATGCTGACGAAAGTTGAATGCTGCATCATGGACAACGAAACATATGTGAAGGCCGACTTCAAACAGATCCCCGGCAACCTGTTTTTCACGGCCAAGGATAAGTTCAGCGTTCCGGAGCATGTCCGCACTCAGAAGATGTCCAAATTTGCGAAGAAATTCCTGGTTTGGCAAGCCATCTGCACGTGCGGGAAGCGGAGTGCACCTTTCGTGACCCAGGACACGATGAACGGACAGGTGTACATAAAAGAGTGCCTCCAGAAGCGGCTGCTTCCTCTCCTGAAGGCCCACAACGTCCCAACAATCTTCTGGCCGGATTTGGCCTCATGCCACTACTCCAAGGACGTGCTGAAGTGGTATGCGGACAATAAGGTCAATTTCGTGCCGAAAATGTTCAACCCTCCCAACACTCCAGAGCTCCGCCCCATCGAGAAGTACTGGGCGATTATGAAGCAGCACCTTCTTAAACGACCTAAGGTAGTGAAGACAGTCGAGGAACTGAAGAAAGTATGGGTTTACATGCAAAAAACGGTTGATTCACAGGTTGTGCAGAATCTTATGGCCGGGGTTAAGGCCAAGGTGCGGGCATTTTCGTATGGACTGTAAATAAAATACGAGTAAAATGGTAAAATGAAATTTAATAGTTATTTCTCAATCCCTGAAAATTTGATGGCAATCGGATGAAAACTCGAATTTTGCGAATCAATTTTGTGTGTGGCAATTTCATCGTGGACACCCTTTAGCCAGATTGGCAACATAGCAGGCAGCTGAACTCCACACGAGCCCCCACCTGTGCCCCTCATCGCACATGTTTTAACACCTTTAATTGTTCCAAATTCAAATTATTCTGCCTCATACGCACAGTTCAACCAGGTCCACAATTGCCTCACAAGATCTATTTCGTTCCTTCTATGTGCATGTGGCAATGAATACAAAAACAATAAAAATATCCACACGATCTGGCCCTAGTATAACGCTTTATCTAATCTAAACACCGCACATAAACATAACTATTCATTCTAGAACGCTGCATCGAACGGTTAATGAGTAAAAATGGTGCATCATGGCCTGGACATCCTGCCTGGCTTACCGACATGAAGTGAGCAAAAGCCAGCTAATTACACTCTAACACCGAGGCGTACACTTGACACATGAAGTTCTAGGTAGTACTACTACAGTGATCCCTCCATTTATGTTTCTCGGCTACCCTTCAGCCAATTGCGCTGATTTTGCTAACTACAGAAAATCAGCTGAATTGATTGAAGGACAGCCGAGAAGCAGCGGTGGGTAGATGGTACCACCGACCGCATAAATGGAAGGAATCACTGTACTTGCTTCTTCTGCCTACACGCTCTAGGGTGATGGAGAGTTTTTGCGGTCATCTTTTTATTCTCCATTCTAAGTATTTATGAATGTAACTAGGTTTGAACGAACACCAACAGCAAAATAACGAACGGATGCTCTGGACACGTTGTGGGTGGGTGGTGGGTTGGTGGATGGCGTGGTACATCGCAACACGGATGGTGGAAGGTGGTGTGAGTCACTGACTTGGAGGCAAGCAGGTCACAAATGGGAAACATATAATGAACCTAAACATCTAGGTAGGTAGGTATGTGGTGTATGTTTGTGAATACTGCTTTACTTGGTTTCGTTTTTCGATTTGTGTAGAATTTAATAAGCCCTCGTTCGCATTTCTGGGACAAATTCCAAATCCGCTTAGCCTTGCCCGACTGAGTACACTTTTAGGCAACCGGAGGAAAAAGGCTCACGCTTCACTGTTCTAAGCGGTTACGATTAATGGGGTGGCCTTTTTGTGTGCTTTGTTCAGTTGAGCTAGATTTCCGGCTTGGGATTTTTTTCTCCTCCTTCGAGGTAATTAATTTTTGGTTTGGCGGATTTTATTGTGCGTTTTTTTTTTATTCCTTTATTCCCTTAACTCCCTCGATACCGGAACGAGGCAAGTGGGAATAAAAGATGAAAACCCCCCGCATTGGACCTGGTACCTTTTTTTTCTTTATTTATTTCAGATGTCTGTAGCTCTGGGTTTTTGTGTTGGTTTTTGGGGTTAAAGATTTTCTTTCTCGGAGGCACAGAACGTTAGAAGACCTAGAGGATGGCATGGTTTACCTGATACCGCTGGGAACAGCACCGACCACAGCAGGACTGAAGCAACCCGGTGGGTCCTCCCGTTGTAGTGTTGGCCGAGTGGGATGGACTGGCCATCGGCGATGGCGATCCGGGCCGCTTCGTTTGGCCATTGTACTGAGTTTCTAGCTCGACAAACTCCCGGTCCTGAGCGAAATACAAAACAGAGATAAATCGTAAGGTTTTATCGGTATCGGGTGCTGTTGTACATGCTTTTGTCTTGATGGCTACGAAAGGAACGAAAGTTGAAAATCATGTTGAAGCAATACTTGGGAGTCACGTGAGAAAGAAGAAAGCTACACCATGTAGAACAACTTATGAATGCATGAACAAAAACCGTTGGATGTGGGTGAAGTTAGCAGCGGATGACTGAGAGAGAGAGAGAAAGAGAAAGATTTGCTTTGAAGTTTCGAGAAGGAAACAGAAAATGCTTTCTCAAAACCATGGACTATGCTAGATTGGCAGTTTTATCGGATGCAGTGAAGATTTTTTTACAACGCTTTTTGTCTACGAGTTGAAATAAAATCAATTATGTTTTGATGTCATATCAAGAACTTCAAAAGTTGGTTTGAATTTTGGCTGGCTTTTAAAAACATGATAAGTGGTTTAAATGATTTAAATTACTCTGTATATTCAAATATTATGTATATCAAATAAGGACAATCATTCGAATAGGTACACAATCGCGCGTAATAAGTATTCACAATCGCTAAAGAAAACTCGTTGTGAATATGTTCAAAGGAAGATTGATCAGCATCAAAACAACAGCAAAGAGTTTTGGAAAATTTTGAAATCTTTATTAAAACCTAGTAATTGCAGACCGTGGTCCATAACTTTTAACGGCACATTAGAACAGTCAGAACAAGTAATTGCAGCTAAGTTTAATGATTATTTTGAAGACAGTGTTTCATTGATTAATCAATCCATTGAATTGGTCGATGAAACTGACGAAATAAAACTGGCAGTTAATAGAAGTTGTAGATTTGATGTTTTTCACCCAATTACATTACATGAACTTAGAGTTATTTGTTTTTCATTAGGAAAATCGGCTGGAGTAGATAATGTTAATGCTAGAGTTATTCAAGATTGCTTTCATGTCATTGGCCACATCTTTCTGGACCTTATTAATGAATCATTGCAAACTGGACATGTGCCACAAATTTGGAAGGAATCCTTTTCAAAAAGTTGCTGGAACGATTAAAGCCGAAGAGTTTCGTCCCATCAACATGTTGCACACATTTGAGAAAATCTTAGAACTTGTGGTTAAAAAGGCCAGCTGTTGGAGTATTTAAATAGTAATAGTTTGTTGATACCAGAACAATCGGGATATCGGGAAGGTCATTCTTGTTAAATTTGATGTTAGTGAAGTGGAAAAGTAACTTAAAGTGTAAAGATACGATTGTTGCTGTTTTTTTTTCTATTTGGATCTTAAACGCGATTTGAAATAATTTCTAGGCTCTTATCAAGATCAATCAAGCGCTTTGAAATTATGAGTACTGCATATAAATGGTTTGAAAACTGTTTGTCTGACAGAACTCAACGAACTGTTTTTAATGTTTCCAGTCCCGTGAGGAATAACCTTGGAGTGCCCCAGGGAAGTGTATTAGGGCCCCTGTTATTTATTATGTATATTAATGGCTTGCGACGTGTTTTACGATTTTGCGACATTAACCTTTTTGCAGATGATACTGTGTTATTCATTGCAGCTAAGGATTTAGAAGTTGCCGTCTCACACTTGAATGAAGATTTGCAGTATCTAAGTAGATGGTTGAAGTGTAAGCAGTTAAAATTGAATACAAGTAAAACTAAATGTATGGTAATTTCGCGGAATCGATTAAATGAGAACGTCTCTGTTGTAATTGATGATGAGAATATTGATCGCGTTCAGGAGATTAAATATCTTGGCGTGATTATTGATGACAAACTTAAGTTCAACTCTCACATTGACAATGTCATCAAGAAAATTGCCAAGAAGTATGGAATTCTATGTCGATTGAAAAACGATTTAACTATTGCCAGTAAAATACAGCTATACAAATCAATCATCTCTCCTCATCTAGACTTTTGCCCATCCATTTTATTTCTGTCGAATGCAACACAAATATCGAGATTACAGCGCTTGCAGAATAAAATAATGCGTTTGATTTTGAGATGTAATAGATTCACTTCCTCAACTTTGATGTTAGACGCCTTACAATGGTTGTCGGTGAAGCAAAGAATTGTATATTTGACTATGATGTTCATTTTTAAAGTAGTTAACGGTTTGCTGCCTCGATATTTGTGTGATCGAATTGAAAGAGGAAGTGACTATCATAGATATAATACTAGAAACGCGGATGAAATAAGAACACCACATTTCTTGACTTGTGCTTCACAGAATTCATTATTTTTTAAAGGAATAAATGTTTTCAATTCGATGCCTAGACACATTAAACGTTCAACAACATTAGCAGAATTTAAGAGACATTGCATTTCACACGTTAAAACTGTCTTTTGAACGGTTATCCAGTGATTTTTTTTTTTTTTATGAATTGACAAATTATGTATCTTGACGAAGTTATTTTTAACGGATTACTTTGTATGGATAGCTGTTATAACGACTTTTTAATAATTATTGTAGCACTGCAAAAACTATTTTGTTCGCACGATGGTGATGATGGATTTTTGATATATGATTTAATAGTAGTAGTAAAAAAAAATAGTAGTCTACAAAGGTTTGAGCCTCGCGCGCGTATTACGGATATAGAGGACTGAATTAAACATTTGATAAAAAAAAAAATGCAATTTTGAAGCTTATTTGGAAGATACCTTGAGTTAGTAGTAAGTTTTCTGGCAAATGTTGAAGGTTCGTGAGCATTCCTGACATTGCTGAAAATTATGATAGCATCAGATTGCGGGGTTGCTAGTGTTATAGGATGCTTTGTTGATTGTTCATTAACTCTTGATTGCTTGTAATACTTATGAATATTTTATATCGCTGTGAAGCAACTGTAAACTCTAGAGGGAATTTATATATGTAACTGTAACCAGTTCGTTTTTGTTGCTAACCTGGTTAAAATGTCATATTTAATTGTCTTAAAGATAAATCGTCCAGCTCAAACCTTTGTACGGCTAAGATGTGGGACCATCATCATCTTTAAAAACAAATTTAAAAAAAATAGAGAAATTTAAATTTTAATCTCTTTTAAAATCTATATAGCTTTATTATTTTTTTAAATGTAATTGGGAATAACTTCTTTATAAAAAGAGATACAGACCATCTTTTTTCAACAAACCAAGTGTCTTAAGTAGTTGCTGAACGAACGGTAGACTGTTCGGTGATTTTGCCCACTTTTTCTGTAATTTTTCCCAGATATTTCTGTTGAGATTTTAGTTAAATTCCACAAAAAATTGTGAATTGATCTTAGTATTTAGTATACCTTGATTTGTCTGTTTAACTGAGAGGTAGAAAAATGCTGTTTTTTTATATGAGAGCTGGTCATAGACTCTGGGTGGTCACTGGATGGTCCTTTAGATGCCTTGATTTGTTTCCATAAGAATATGGAATGTGGCAAAGTGCTGATTTTATATATCTCATCTGGTCGTAGAACCTGAGTGGCTACTGGATGGTCCCCTGTAAGATCCAGAACATCTGTTAAATTAATACTTATGATATTTGTAACATAATCTTAGTATGTAGTATGGCTTAATTTATCTACATCACTGAAAGGTAGAAAAATGCTGATTTTTTTATATATCAGCTGGTCATAGATGTAGACTTTGCGCCCTGGTCTCCTGGATGTTGTCCCGTCGTATCCTTCAGTCTCAGTGGAATCCGTCCGTCCTCTTCTTCTCGTACTTTCAATCCCCTCGTCCACCTTTGTCCGTATCTGTCACTCCAAGAGTAAGGTCCCTTGAGCAATGTTGTATTAGCAGGGTATAGCTACAACCCCCTCCCCCCCTTAAGTTTATAGTTTGAACAATATTTATCAACGTCATGTTTTATTTCTTCCATTCAGATTCATTTGAACTTCATTGAGTTTCAATAAGATACATAGTCACTACACTGATGCAAAATTTGACTTTTTCGCTACATAGTGCTTATATGGTTTCAAATCGGGTCCTGATTAGCCTCCCAAAGTTACAACTCATTTGGTTAGAAACAGACTTCGCACAAGACATTTGAAGTTTACATGTAAATTAGTATGGGAAATCTCAACTTTTTGTTCATTGCCTTCTAGTCTTTTGCCATATTGAGCTGCAAAACAGTTCGATAGCCATTCTTATAGAAAATTTTCTCAGCTACAACTTTTCTGTAGATCCTTTCTATGTAAAACGAGACAGGAAAAAGCTATTAATTATTTAAGAGATTGGTAAACTTTTGACATGATCAAGCAGGATGAGACGTAAACACACATGTCATGTAAAATTAAGTGCTCCGAGACTGAAAAGTTCGTTACTCGACGAAAAGTACGTTTGATTGAGCTGAATTTTGCGTCTATTATGACTCAATTTTGTGTCATAATTGACGCTCGTATATGTCAGTCTCAAAGCACCTAAATTTACATGAATTTTTCTAAGCGTGTACAGTTGTTTGCTTTTGAAGCAGACCGATCTGGTGAATTATTAGATAGACATGAACAAAAATCTTGGTTTTACCATAGTAATACCCATACAAATTTCAAATGGTTTGTGCCATCTCAGTTTCTCACCAAATGGGTTCAAATTTTGAGAGGTGAGTTAAGATCCGATTTGGAATCGTTTAAGTATTGCGGAACGAAAATTTCAAATTTTGCATCACTTTAATAGTCACGGTACTTCACAGGCTGATTTCTAATCCGTTTTGCAACAGCACCTGGTTCACCAGAAGGTTCACAATCATCTTCAGGTGGTGTCTTATGCAAAGGAAGAGAATCTTCATTTACTTCATCGTTCACTGTACCAGAGCTATAATCAAGTGTGTCATCGCTGTCGCTATTCTCGGATTCAAATCCACTGACTTTCTTAAGATGTGCAGGACTACGCCTGTGCCTTTAGTCTCGACAATGGTATCTGTTCCTGATCTACGATTAACAATGTACTCCTCATTTGCAAAGTCAGTATCGAGCTTATTCTTCTCACGCATTCTTCTCATTCATTACCAGAGCTGTTCAAATTTTGCATCACTT